AAATTAATCGTAGAAAAATCTCCAGTACAGTTTTCAAAGCTGGCTTATGTTCAGGTATCTATTTTAAAAGCTGGGGGTTTGGAGGGTTGTTTTTTTGGGTTGTGGGTTTTTGTTGGGGTTTTTTTGTTTTTTTGGGTTTTTTTTGGACTGGATTCCATGAACTCTTTTATCCTTGTATGATGGAAATTATGATCAATAAAACGAGTTCTTTTAATGGAGTATGAGCTTAGGTACATTTCAGCATCCACCCATTTCCAGAGATTGGCTGTGACTTGAAGTGCTTTTAATGCTAACTACCTGGAGCACTGGTCAGCAAAATCCTTAACTTACATCAGTATGTCTGTGATACTTAAAATGGCTTTGCATTTTTATTTTTCATCCGTACATAGTTACAGCAATCTGTGGTAGTTCATACCTGTTGCTGTCTTATTACTGGCTTTTCAGCTTGATGTTCCATGGCTTGCTTCATTAATTGTGTGTTATCTTTGCACAGCAGCCATGCTAATATCCTCTATACTGTTCCAGTTTTATTATGTGTGCTGCCGAAGTGCTGATAATGTGAATGGGAGTTCACTGAGGAAAAGATGGTACTCGATGCCTTCTCATTGGGTACCCAGTGTCCTGACAGATTCGTGCAAAGCTTTGGCGACTTGGAGCAGTAGTGGTTTTTGTTCTGTCAGCTGGAGTCGGTATAAACTTCAGGATTTTTGGTTCAGATATGATTTTGAACTCAAAACTTTCTTTTAAAAGCCCTATTGTTTTCTTTGGTTATACAGAAACGTTGGATTCTCCTGATGCTGCTATTAAGATACCTCCATATCAGCTAAGGTAAGAACATTTAATGATGAATCCTTGGAGCTGTGACTATTTGTAAAATTGAAGTAAAAATTTGAATTAAAAGTGAGGTAGACGGAAGAGGGGGCTGAATCTATGTGATTTCTTTAGTTTGTAGATATCTAGGCTGGTAGTAGCTTTGCTGATGAGCCCTTGGCCTCTAGCCATGAATGAAATGTTAGAAAACGTGTTAAAATGGGTGTATGTATAATGGTGACACATGGTTAAAAGGAGGGCTGTTTTACAGTCTAAAGAGTTTTCCTTCAAGATTACAGCCTTCAGTATAAGTGATGATACTTCTCAGTCTTCTCAGTGTTTTCCTTTAAATCTAGATTGTTTTTTGTTTACTGAAAATAAATATTCTAGAAACTGAAAAGTTATTTATCATCGTGTAGCTAGGATGCTGGGTAGGAACTAAAATAATCCAGTTTCTATGCCTACTTCTTCCTTCAGTCTGCTAGGTTATCTTGACTAAGCCTTCTCCCTTTTTCCTGTCTCCATTCATACACCTATAAAATGGGTGATATGTCACTGCCCTCATTTGTAGAGCTGTTTAAGATTTCATTTGGGGAATTCTGATTGATATGGAGAAAGTAAATAGGCAAAATTATTTACTGTTCCTTCTGACTGAACCATTTAGGAAACATCAGAAGAAACTAACAAGTGCACTATTCAGAACAGGAGGACACTATTTCATACAGTTTGTGGTTAAGATGTGAAATACTTAGGCTTGCCTTAGAGAATGTAACAGATGCTAAAAGTTTGCATGGGTTCAAAAAGCACCTCAGCAAATCCATGGAAGAAATTGATTGAAGTCTATCAGATGCAAAGGTACTCCTTTTTAGTCAGAAGCACTTCAGTTAGAGATGGGTTTGTAAGAGGGTGTGTACTTTCCTGGGAGTACTTATCACCTTATTACTCCCCATGGCTCCTTTCAGTTATGCATGGTGTAGGTTTGTGCAAGAAAAATTGAAGAGCTAGTTATTTCAGAGCAGTCACCAAATAGGGAAGGAAGAAGAGCGGTTCTTTTGCTGTCAGCTGCAGTTGACAAGGGGTCTCAAGTCAGTGGGGAATGGATGTAACACAGGTCTGACATGACCAGTGCCAGACATGTCATTTCCAACACAGGCTGGGCAGCTGAGAACAGCTGGATGAGTAATTCCCAGTAGCTCCATTAGAATTAGATTATATTTACTTGGCACTGTGGTGGAAGAAAACGTGGCTCTTTATCTTTCCATTTATCATCCTTCATCTTTAATACAGTGCATGGTCTCTGTTTTTAAGTACTGTTCTCATTCCCTATGAATCAGTTAGCTGTTACCACGTTTCTTCCTTTTTCAATTGCCTACTGCCTCTTTACACATATGCCTACCCTTTCTCTTCTTCCTCCAATGTTCTTAATGTTTGTTTAGTTGTTTGGGGGTTTTTTCTACTGTAAATCCTTCTCTTTTTAAATAAAGCTAATACCTTCACAGGTGTAGCTATGATGAATTAAGCTTTTAATGTTAGACTTGTCAGTAACAATACACTCAGTATTACTGGATGCTTTACAAAATGAAGGATGCACTAGAGAATCTGCGCAAAAGCTTTGGTTGTGGGATCCTTGGTATGATTCTGCCACACAACTTCAGACAAGGTGGAAAATGTTGCTGTCACCAGTACTGTGAGCTTACTCTTCATTCTGTTAACAAGCTACTGCCAGACTGCAGATCAACACACTGGGCCACATCTTGGGCTGGAGTTCACCTGCATGATGTGCAAATTAGAGGAAAGTTCATCTTTGTTATTTGTTAAAGAACAGCACTGTGATAGCTTGATTCCTAAGACGGTAAAAGAATAGCCTTGAAAATAGAGCAATAGTAATGACCAGAAATACAGCCAAGATAGGTGCAGGATGGAGACATCCTGTCCCTGTCCCTTGCCTGCTTTCATCTTTATCAGGTGCACATTGTGTCACCTGCTGCAACACAGATCAGGCCCTGGCTGCTCATCCACTTTGAATCTGCTATTCACCCTTTCTGCTACAATATTTTTGAGCATAGGAGCAGAGCCTGGGGATATGTTCTGGAATATTCCATGATACTAAAGTTAGAGTGAAGATACATATAATCTTTCCAATAACTAACCCTAGTCCACTACTCAGATCTGAGATCCACAGCAGCAAAATACTGAAAGTGTTAAAGGCAGTGTGGCAAATAGTTCAGTAGAAAAATACATATTTGTGAGGTCTCTTCCAAGAGTAACAGCTGAATGAGTATTTTGAGTACTGTATGTGCAGGGAGGATGTTCCAGCTTGTTTAGTAGGAAAGTTTGGTGAGTCTTTAGAATATACTGGATATAAGGAAAGGATATCAGCATTTCTCTGTAATATATTTGGGGAAGTTCATGATCTGTAGTTGCACATCTATACTGCATAAGAATGGGGGACAGATTCATAAGCTGCCATGTCCAGTTGAGATAGATACTGGCTTGATTTCAGCAATGGCAAATCTAATTAAGTGTCCCAATCAGTATTGTTTCTGTTTCTCCACAGAGCATCACCTGGCTTTCACTAGTGAGTTGTGCTGGTGTTACTGCCATTTAACAGGTTGGCCATGACTTTTAAGTTCTTTGTCTTCTGGAACTGAAGAATGACGTCGGCTCATGAGAATGAGAACATGTAAACTGTATATTCCCTTTTTATTTACTTATAAAATAAAAGGCCATTTGCTGCTTTTGACACCACAGTTCTAGATGAGTAGAGGTTCTTCATAATGTTGTCTTTTAAGGCTATGATCCTAGCTTGAGAATGGAGAGAACAAGATATCTCTTTGCCTTTCCTCAGACTCTGACTAGTTGAGTTCAAGTTAATTTTTAACATTTGTTATATCAGCTACATGCTCATCTCCACGACGCTGTTGAAATAGATTAATTCCACGTTCTGGCTTGTTCCTGACCTATCCATAGTTTCCTCTTTTGTGTTGGCCCCCTGTTACTGAACACTGGGCAGGCCACATTATAGTTCCCTGAAGCCTGTGCAATTAGTCCGGGGGTTCAGCTGTAGCATTTGCATGGGAGCTGTTTCCAGCACTGGTCTGGCAGCAGTTTAGGTAGCACGTGGCTGCTATGTTTGGGAGCACCTGGGGTACTTTTGCCCCAAGGGAGTGCAGTGACTGGACAGTCAGCCTGGAATGTCATTCTTTAATTAGTTTGATAGAGATCAGTTAGGTATATCTTCAGGGAGCTGAATGAAATTATATTGCTGTTCAGCTTCCTCTGATGTTAATTGGAATTATGAATCCAAATCCCAGTTAATGACCTTGCATTATTCTAGTGAGGTGCATTATTTAAATGTCTTCCTAAAGAAATACAAATCTCCAAATATGAGTTTCCCAGAGAGTCCTGTCAGCTCTGCCTTGAAACAGGAATATGTGCATGCTTTTCCAATGCTTTAACTTGTAATCAGTGTTGAGCAAGGGTGTGAAAAAGTAAAGAAGATTAAAGTAGACCAGGATGGAAATGACCTTAAGTCAGTTCAAGGCTTTGCCACAGATATCCTGTGGATCCTTGAGAAGGGAGAGTCACATAACCCATTGGTCTCTTGTTGCCTGCGTACTACAGTGATGTTTGTCTCTGAACAGGCATTGTGAAGATTGAATAGATACTAAGTGCTTAAGGAGGCTGGATGATTGACTTATAAATAATGAATTAGATAAAAGAAATTGATGTGCTGGTGTTTTAATTGGTGAATTGATCACAGAAAATAGCTTAAGAGACCTTAATAATGTCTGCCAGCAAACAGTTGTTTGCTACTAAGTCACTTCAGTATTTTCAAGTTGACAAATCCTGACCTAAGCCCAAAAACCTACACTGAACAAGTCTCTCCTTGGCCAATTCCTGGCCATTCTCCATTGTGATTTTAGAAACTAAAATATGATCCATAAAAGGTAACTGAACAGACACTAGAAAATGAGCCTTGAAAAAGAATGTTTGATCGGAGCAGTTTAATACTCATACGGATTATCTACATACCAGAGAATAAAATAAGAGGCTAGACAGTGCTTGCCAGTCACATACTGCTTTGAAAAAACTTTGGTTTATTGGAGTTTCTTGGACTGCTTTACGTAATTAAGTCATGCCTTATAGGCTATGTAAAACTTAGTGGCTTTCTATCAGCACGAACTTGGTGCTGTAAAGAGGAGGTTGGTTAGGACTTCTGAGGGAGGCTGTAGCTTGGTGGGTAGTTTAGCTGTTGTATTTTAGTGTTGCTGTCCTCACTGGAGCCTGGACTCTTATATACATGATTTCTTACTGTGTCCCTGCCATTCTTCATTAGGATGTTTTTATTGTTATCATAAAGAGATTTTTCTCATAGTTCTAAGATATTTCCTGTAATTTCCAGGTCTTATACTATCCTGCCGTTACTTTTATTTTCTTCTGACTGGAACAATGGCAAAATTATTTTTTTGCCCTTTGGTCACTGTAGCAGAAGCATCACTGCAGACTTGAGTTTGAGCTGTTCTGTGGAGCTGTTGTGGCTGATGTCTCTTTACTCCCAGAGAAATGTGTCTGAGTGCAGAAGAAGGTACATAGACAAAACTCTCAATAAATAAGTTGCTGTTAATGCTAGTTTAAAGTTTCCCTAGTGGACTTACAAGTAATGGCCAGGAGGACATGATGATGAGGGAGGTGTTCAGGTGTTCTGGCATAGTAACTGATGTAATTTACATTCTTTCAAAGAAGAAGCAGGAAGGCTTTCCAAATGCCTACATCTTTTCAGCATATCTGTATACTGTACTGTCTGAAGTTGCAGAAAGTAATTGAAATTGAATGGAGGTAAAGGCTCAAGCCTTCAGGGCACCAATTCTGGCTGCCTCATCAGAAAGATACAGGTCTTGGCTTTCAGAGGTGCTGAACCTTTCCAGGTTCTGTTTGTGTTGGTAGCAGACCCTGTGTTCATTACTGCAAAAGCTTTCATCCCTCTGGTATTTCACACTGGCCTTTTTAAAATAGAC